TCTAGATGAATCTGATTCAAAAATCAACCTGACTCAAAAATAGCCAGGTTCATTGTTCAGCTAAATCAAATAACTCTCATAAACCAGCTGTTATCATTTGAAATTTGAAATCTTTCACATTTTTCCATTTGTTTCTTTCAAAGAGAAATTCCTCTAAAAAGATAGTATCCGCGCGGACGTGTCGAAGACACGTAAAGACACGTATTACCACGACCACGACCCGTGACCCGTGACCCGTGACGTGACGTGACGAGACGGACGGACAGCGGCGGCGGTGCACGAGAGTCCCCCTTGTTCTCTATCACTCAACAAGGAAGTGAGAAAGCCAAGTCTTAAATACCATTCCCAATAATACTTTCAATACTATGTGAGATTGAACATTACCAACAAACGTCGCATTCCCAATCCAATTCAGAGCTACTTGGGAATCTGACTCAACTATCAAGTCAAACAAATCAGACATACCTGTGTTCCAAGAAGATTGACACCGCTGTTTTTATTTCGACAAACTCGGAAAAATCAGCATTTACAAAATCTGCATTCACATGAGCTACAGAGCCTGAAAAATGGTGATACGCTGATTCTACTCCCGTTTTGCACCATGGACAGCTTCATCAAATTTTACTCCCCTTGTTGCAAGAAACTCCTTGGTCGGGATTCGCTCAATTTTTAACATCCACAGGATGCTTCTAACCTTGGGTGGAACTTTCATCTTCCAAATTTGATCAAAATCAAAAGCCGGAGCAACTAAATTGTCGTTTGTGAGCAGATCGGTTAGTTCTCCTACCGAGAAGCTTCCAGCCTGATCGTGCAGCCATATCACTCTATCTTGCATCGAGTCTGAAACCTTCTCTTTTAAAATAACCGACTTCATCTCTTCCACCCCTTTAAGTTCTCTATCAAGTAAAGGTCTTGTAAATAGATTTGGCCAACTGATCTTGGTCCAACAGTCCTGCTTGGTTACTGAAGCAATAGTACAACCTTTATTCTTTGCTAATTTGTATAACCTTGGAAATGATTGGCAAAGAGTTCTTTAAAATTCCTTTCCACCAGCTCGACATGCTTTTTGTTCTTCTCAACTCAGCCCAATGTTGGTTCGAGGATCCATACTTCGCACAAATAACCTTTCTCCAAAGTGCTTCTTTCTCAATAGGAAATCCCCAACCCCATTTAGCTAATAGAGCTTTATTTTTAGCTTTTAAGTTCACTATTCCAACCCCACCTTTCTTCTTCGACGAACACAGTTTACCCCCAACTAACTGAATAAAACAAAGCTTCACTTGATGGAAAATAAGCAATATGGGATATTATGGGGTAAAATTCTTACTTGATACCAATCAAAAGAGTTATTTTTTAATTTGATCCCTAAACTTTAACCAGAACACTATTTTAACCCTAAACTTCAAATGAATTACCATTTCAACATCTAAATTTTAGATAAAATATCAATTTGACCCAAGTCTCCCGTCACTGACTGCCACTCACCACTATCGTCACCGGTCACTGTTGGTAAGTATTGACTGCTGATTGTTGGACGATAATATAAAATTTCTAGTACACTTATTTTTTTTGAGCTCCTAAACATAAACCCAATGTCTATTTCACCAAAAAAATATCTCAAACTCAACAAATTTAGACTAGAACCCTTTGATTTCCTTTAAAATTAAATTATGACAATAAATTTATCATTAATATTCCTTTCAAAATAATTACAGCCAAAATCTAAATTTATATCATAATCTAATACATAAATTTTATTCCTTTAAAAATAATTTTAAAATTCCAGTAAGCATTTGAGCTCAAGCTTGATCATTTGTTTATATTATAGACAAAAGATATATTAGCTTTGTCAATTAGAAATTTTAACTATCTAAATGATATTTTCTCCGTCTCATAATTTTTGTCTTATATTGACTATACATATATTTTTAGGAGATATATTTGACAAAGAGAAATAATAAAATTATCCCTAAAATGTGATTAATAGATTTGATTGATTTGTTTTTATAAGAGTAAAAAAGTAAGACATATAAAGGTAAAAAGAAAATATAAGTAGGATTGTTTGTTGACTTTTCTAATATAACATTTTTAATGGGACAAATTTAAAATCCAAAATAGACATATTTAGTAAGGGAAAGGGAGTATCTAGGGATGGGCATGAGTTGGGTTTGGATCGAATTTCAACCAACCCGACCTGACCCAAAAAATCCTTCACCCGACACGACCCGACACAAAAAATATATATCATCCACCCGATTTGATTTTTTGAGATAAAATATGAACCCGATCCGACTCGACCCGAAATAATAATAAAAATATTATTTTTATTCAATAATAACAATTATTTAATTGAAAAAAATAATAAATAGAGGGATATTATTGTAATTATTTCTAAATATATAAGGTGAAAATATTTTTTTCGGGTCTAGTCAGATCGAGTATTTTTCACCTTAAACCTGAATCCTACCCGAACCCAAATTTTTTTTAAAACCCCCGACCCGATCGGATCGGGTTTGGGTCCCATGCCAATCCCTAGGAGTATCAATCAAGCCACCTGTCGATTAGGTGCTCTCATACTTCCCAATTGACTTAGTTTCAAGTTTTTATTTGGCCACTTTAATTTTCTTTTATCTGGCATTAACTATATAAAAGTAGGACCAAATGCGAAATTACATCAATTTTAAACGGTCGCTTCATATTATTCATTAAATGTTAACTGCAATTGACTTAATTAATATCATTTAGATAGTTAAGTGGTATAATTGACTAAATTAATTGATTAATACTTTTTTTTATAGAAGCAACTATTTTTATTTAAAGTAGGAAATATCCCAAATTAAAATAAGGATTTACAATCATAATCGTAAATTAAACATGTAATTAGGATGATTTCCTATAATTATTGAAATAAAACTAGCAACTTAAGATCACATAAGGACCATACATGGAAAGATTAAAAACATAACCAAAAAACTCGAACAAAGATAGAGACAAACAGATCTGATTGCATCGGCAAATGATCCACATAAGGGGATCAAGCTCTTGAAAGACCACCGACAAACCACAAATCAGACTCGAGCGATGTGAAAAGTTATCCAAGAACGCAAATCGGGTATTCAAATTCAATTCGAGAGTCCGAAGCAGGGAAGACCAACAAGATATCATATAAGTGTCATTTTGATCAGTCGTGACGATGTCAAATCAACCCTTAGAAAAATATAAATGAAAAAATGACCAAACGACCGAAAAGCATGTCAAAAGACAGAAGAATATGTGTCATAAAGTTAAAAGAAAGCGTGTCATATAGGTATACTTACTGAAAATAAAAAAGCAAAGGAAAATAGAGACAAGATATAAGCAAATAAAGGACAATAAAAAATATCGACAGTCAACAACTAACATTAAAATTGATTTCACCGATAGTCAACAAAGACGAAAGAAAAGAGATGAGCGACAGACCAGTAAAAGAAAAGAAAGAATGGGCAAAGAAACTTAATTGATGAATTGTTAAATTAGAACCTCCCGTAATTTATCATTCATGTAGTTTATCGTATTAATTCATAAACCACAAAAGGATGTTCCTGCTTGCCAGATTTTCTCGTTCAATGAATCATAAAAGACTTGCACTACATTCATAAGGAAACTACGCTTATTTTTGGTCTGCTGAATCCTCTTCGAGTTCAAAATGAAACAGTATTAATAGTTTGAGGACTGATATAGAATACTTTAAAGATTATGAACCAATTTAGATCATAATTTGAGGACTGGTAGAACTGACGACACATTAATAGAAGGATCATAACTTGAGGACTGATATAAAAGTTTTTAAAGTTTTGAGACCAATTTAAATAAACGTCATAATTTAGAGACATTCTATGCAACTAATTTATACTTGGTGGCGTTAAGATTACATATTTGAGAATGAAGGACAAAACTTGTGGAATCTTCATCTTTTTACCTATTAACTCTGTCCCCCACTCAAAAAGGAACTTTCACTATAAACCGTCTGTTTTAAATATTGAAATTAAAAAATGATAAATAATTAAAAATCATAAAATAAAATCTAATTATATTGAACTGAATTTTAAATTTTATATCATTCGATTTTATTCTAGAAAAATCACAGTTCAAGTCATATTTTATTAGAAACTAAATTAAATGGAATTGAATATATATCAAAACGACATATATATTTTATAGATTATACAGTTAATTAATTTATGAGATAATTAATATTAATAAACTAATTTTCCCATATTATTCAAAAATATATTTTGTATTAATCAAACAATAAATTAAATATAAAAAACTTGAATGAAACGATAATATGTATGTAATACATATAAATATTTGGTTTAGAAGCTCGATTAACGTTCGTTTATCTTTCGCAAACATTTTTATTTAGTGTTCATTTATCATTCGAGAATACATTCGTTTAAAATAAAAAGGACAAGAGATGACGTGAAAATGATTTTTTTGTGTTATAATAGGAAAAATGGTAAAACTACACAAATAATACTTGAACTTCTTAGAATTCATAGTTTAAACTCCAAATTTCATCATATATTCAATTTAGTATGTACCTTCACTAACATTCGAAATATAAAAAAATAAACGAGCTTGTTCGTGAACATTAATGAACCAGACACACATATGTTTGTGTTCATTTATTAAATAAACATAAAAATTTTGTTCATTATCATTTATTTAGCTTAATAAATTAAATATAAACGAACATTATACAAACAGTTCACGATTCATTCTCATTTTTTAGCTTGATAAATGAACATAAACGAACATTATATAAACAGTTCACGAACAATTTTACAGACTAAATTAATATAAATAAATTAAAATTTCCCTTATTGTTAGAAAAGTATCATTGTATTATATAAATTTATTTTTTTCACTCATTTAAACAGTAGTGTAAAATTTTATATGAGTTAATCAAATAATAAATTAAATATAATAATTATATAAAAAAAACCTTTAATGCAACAATATTTATATTTCATTAATTATGTATAAATTACATATTATCCTATATACCAAACACAAAAACTAAAAAAAAACATAAAAACATAAATTAAAAATCAAAATCAAGCCCATCTTCAACACCAGCTTCATAAGCGTCTCCGACCATGTCGCCGATCAACATTCCACCCAACAGTCCGCCGGCCAATCCCAATCCTAAACCAGCTCCCATGCCGCCGTTCTTCTTTGGCTTCTGCCGTTTCTGCCCCGGTGGAAGGTATCCATAATATCCACCGTGACCCGGATATCCATACCCCTGAGCCGGCGCCTGATGGTATCCGTACGGCGGATATCCGCCACCGGGTTGAGGATAAGGGTAACCCGCCGTCTGGGGAGGCGGATATGCACCTGATGGTGGAGGGTAACTAGTTGCAGGCGGCGGATACGCCATCGCTGGCTTCTCGGTTGATCCCGAGCTCGGTCCTGGATAACCAGTCACGGGCGGAGGATAAGCCATAGCCGGCTTCTCGACGATGGTGGCGCCGGACGCCGTACCCGAAAGCTGTCCGTTGAACTTCTCCCCGAACTTGTAACCGAAATTCAACACGCCTTTAGCTTTGCCGTTAGGCAACCTAACGGACCGTTGAACCTTCCCGTGTCCGTCATCAAGCAACTCCTTAACCGGAACCTGAACCGTGCCGATATCTCTATCCCCGAGCTGACGTTCCGACTGAAGGTGAAACACGAGGCTGAGCCCGTTCCGGCGAACGGATGCTTCGTCGACCGTGAATTTCATGGTGCAGCTCCACTCCGGGTTCGATCCGCTGCCCTTGTCGGCCGGAGTCCTTTGCGCCGAACGGTAATCGCCGTTGATCGAAACGACGACGTAAACATCCATCTTGGTGAAAAGATTGACGTCTTTGAGATCTTTGGCAGAGATAACATTGATTTCTAAAGGCCGAAACTCCATGATCGTTTTTTCTTTCGAAAATCAAAAGGAAAAAAAATGAAGGAACTGAAGGTTATTGTGAACTGAAATTGGATCGATGAACAAGAAACGGAAAAAGGGTCGATTTATATAGAGAGAGAAACGGTGAGAAAAGCGAAAGAAAGTGGAAGATTCGTGGTGGAGGGGAACGAAAACGCCATTGATGATATTTGTTGTTCTTTAAGTGGGAAAGTGGTAACTAGAATTTGTTCTCCGCGTTATATTAAAGGTTAGCGTAAATTACAATAGTATTTAGATTATAAATTTTAGTTTATTTTAATATATAATTTTTAATTTTTTTTAAAAATTATACCTAAAGTTTAATTTCTATTTCATTTTAGTACTATTCATTAAAAACTTTAGCTTTTGTTTTATTTTAGTACCCTTGTTCAAAATTTAACGATAAATTTTGAAAAGAAATTGAAAGTTTAGGTACTAAAACAGACCAAAAATGATAATTTAGGTACTAAAAGCGTTAATTTTTTAACCGTGAGGTACTAAAATGAAATGAGAACTAAACGTTAGGTTTTGTTTTGCAAAAAATGAAAGTTTAATTACTAAAACGTATCAAACTGATAGTTAAGTACTAGATGTGTAATTTACCCTAAAGGTTATTATACTCATTAGATCCTTAAATTTTAAAGTACACAAATGGACTCTCACCATAAAATATTATTTTATTAAATCTCCTCATTATTGAAAGTTATAAAAAAGTCCATCAATTATAAAATATTATTTTGTTGAGTTCTCCGACTATTAAAAGTTACACAGTTCCCCGACTATTAAAATTTACAGAGTTCTCTGACTATTAAAAGTTACGAAATGGTCACTCGATTATTTATATGTTCCAAACTTGTCATTTTTTGTTAAAAAATTGGATGTCGTCTGAGCTGGACGTGAACATGTTGATTATGATATGATAAAAAAATTGATCCCGACTATAGTTCGATGTTTTGTTGAGTTAACAAGTTAACGTACAGCTCAAACTATAGTCAATTTTTAACAAAAAAATGACGAGTTTAGAACGTAATTAAATGATCACTTTGTAACTTAAAGTAGTCGGGGACTCGATAAAATAATAAAATATAGTCAAGAGATCACTTTATAACTTTTAATAGTCGAAACACTCAACAAAACATCGTTCTATAGTGGAAAGAACATTATGCTACTTTATCCTAAATTTTATTACTTTATTCATTGGAGTCCTTATGTGGGAAAGCCGTACAACTAGAATTTATTCTCCGCGTCTTTTCAATCTGTTTAGGGATGGCAACTCAACCCGAATCCGACGGGTTTCGACCCGACCCGATCGGATCGGATTTTTTTAAAATAATTTCGAGGTCGGGTCGGGTCGGGTCGGGTTTTTTTTAAATGTACTGTTCGGGTCGGGTCGGGTTTAGGGTGGAAAAAAATCCGACCCAACCCGACCCGACCCGAAAAATATATATAATTTTATTCTATATATTTAGGGATAATTACAATAATGTCCCTCCATATATAATTTTTTTCAATTAAGTCACTGTTTTCATTGAATAAAATTTTTTTTATTATTATTTCGGGTCGGGTCGGGTTTCTAAGTCATATATTCGGGTCAGATCGGGTCGGGTGAAACCTTAATTTCGTCGGGTCGGGTCGGGTCACGGGTGAAAAACCCTTTCTTCTCGGGTCGGGTCGGGTGGCCCAAAAACCCGACCCGACCCGACCCATTGCCATCCCTAAATCTGTTGCATTCTAGATTATATCAATAGGCTAATATATTTAAGAGATCCTTGAATTTTATTACTTTATTCATAAAAGTCCTTATGTTTTTATTACACTATGATAAGCCTCGAATTATTGTTGATACTCTTAATGGCTTGAAAAATAACTTAAATGATAGGGTAAACTACACGCTTACTCACTTAATTTTACTCTCTCTCCTATTTCACTCACCATACTTTCAATTTTTTCAATTTGCTCACTGAACTTTAGACATTGAACTTTTTTTATCACTCGATCATTAAATTTCTAACGTTGTCTAATTAAAATTGAAAAAAAAAATTAAAAGTACAGTGAGTGAAACATGAGAGAGAGTAAAGTTTAGTAAGTAAACATGTGACATGTTTTATTATTAAAATACGCCACGTGAGTATGCCATTACTGAGTAAACGGTCGAGTGACCATAAAAGTTCAATGGATAAAGTTCAATGAGCAAATTAAAAAAAATTGAAAGTACGGTGAGTGAAATAGGAGAGAGATTAAAGTTTAGTGAGTAAGCATGTAATTTACCCTAAATGATATGAATTTGAGATAATTTGATTAAAAAAACATGTTTTGCAAATTTTAACAACTCGAATATTGAATTCGAATTGATCCAAAATGAAATCGATTTAGTTGACACATTTAATATATAAACTAGGGATTTCTGCTCATTTTTAAGATTTGGGGAGTGAATTTTATTTGAATATAAGAATATTTATTTGCTTAAATTTAATTAGTTTAAATATGTAAGGATTTATGTACTATTTTAAAATTTAATCTTCCTAGTTTAGTTCCGTAATATTAAATCTTTATATTATTTTTATTTGAAAATTTTAATTTTTAATTAATGTTCGATTTTATTAGGGTAAAGTATATAAATGGTCCCCTAACTATAGGGTATTACTTTGTTGAGTCCTTGATTATTAAAAAATATTAAATGGTCCTCGAACTATAGGACGTTACTTTGTTGAGTCCCTTAACTGTTAAAAGTTACAAAATGGTCATCCCACTATTCATATGTTCCAAACTCATTTTTTTGTTAAAAAAAATCGACAGCAGTCTGAGTTAGACGTTAACCTATTGACCAAGATATGCTAAAATTTAAACTCAAAATCTCAAACGACGATCATATCTCAAACAATATGTTAACATCCAACTCATACAACTGTCAATATTTTTATCGAAAAAATGTGAGTTTGGAACATATAAATAGTTGAGTGACAATTTTATAACTTTTAAATAATAAGGGGATTCAACTACTGTAACGCCCCAGATCGGTACGTGTGACTCGACCCGGTCCGAGGTGTCACATTAGGGCTAACAGAGCGACCCACAGTAAAAGTTCGGAGAAATTTAAACTTTTCTTAAACCATTTAAAAACTGTAAAATAATTTATAAATAAATTGTACAAATTTAGAAAACATTTATCGATCAAAATAGAATTCAAATATAAATAGCATCAAAGTAAGTTGCAAAGTCAATATAAAAGCAAATATGACCTACATGCCCCTAATTACATTTGTATTGTACTCTGCAAGAAACGTCGAAGGAACTCACATATTGATGTCGATATTGGACAGAATCAATTTCTTTAACCTAAAATGGTAAGTAACATAATGAGCTTTGGGAAGCTCGGTAATATAGAACTACATATGCTGCTAAAGGACAAGTAGATAGATAGTGAAGCATGAAAATTTCCTTAATTATCCAGGTATATTCATATCCTAATGATGAGTTGAGGTTTCATAATTATTTCATCATGAAGCAGTTAGGAAACATGCAGTTCAGAAGAAATATTCAGAGAGGTAAGAAATGAAGCAAGGAAGTCTAGCATGTTCCAACAAAACCAGAAATAGTAATTTATTCAGTGAAACAGATTTTGAAAATCATAGTGATACCTTCACCCAAATACTCCGTATGCAATTCCCCAGAAGCAAGGCATTCAGCCTGATGTTGTATTGTACAGTACATTGGTTGATGCTTATTGCAAGGAGGGAATGGTTTCCAAATCTGAAGATATTGTCGACACAATGAGAAAGCAAGGCATTGAGCCTGATGTTGTTACCTATAATGCATTGATGCACGACCATTGTTTGCGAAAGAAAATAGATAAAGTTTGTAGAGTATTTCAGTTGATGCTTCAGAAAGGTTGTGCACCTGGTATACAGAGTTACGACATCATGATCAATGGATATTGCAAAGCTAAGAGTAGGACCAATCCCGGATACTTTCACGTATACCATTCTAATGCAAGGTATGTTTCAATCAAGGAGAGTTTCTGCTGCAAGTGAACCTTTAAGGGAGATGCTTGCTTCTGGACTAGCTCCATGTCGAGTGACCTGTTCAATTTTGCTGGATGGTTTATTTAAAAGTGGTTGTCTTAAGGAGGCGTTGAAATGTTTTCAAGCTATGTGGAATAGTGGGTTGGTTGGAACTTGATATTATCTTTTACAATATCCTAATTGATGGTGCTTAAAAATCTGGGCATATTAGAGTTGCAAAGGAATTGTTTCATGAACTGTTCGTCAATGGTTATAAACCCACCATTTACACATTTAATATAATGATTAATGGATTCTGTAGAGAGGGTTTGTCGGATAAAGCACACCAGTTGTTTAGGAGCATGGGAGATAATGATTGTTCGCCTGCTAGCATCTCTTATAATGTAATGATCCAGGGTTTTTTTCCAAAACAGCTCTACCTCAAAGGCAGTTCCACTTCTTACAGAAATGGTCGGTAAGGGTTTTTCTGCAGATATATGCACTGCCACCTGGTAAGTGGATCTACTCTTGCAATCTAATAAATCAATCTTGATTTAAAATGTTGGGTTTTTAGTGTAACGATGGTTAGTTGTGAATGTGCATACACTCGGTCATAACCATTTTCATTTTTGCGACAAATTAATTGTTTTTCTTTAGAGCTATGCTGAGTGTTAAATTGTATTCCCAGTCTTAGTTGATGTACCTTATAAACAACATGAAGGTCTATTTTGAAATTATACTAATTTGCTTTGCTTAAACTTTGACTTGTTCTGTTATACTATTTCTTTTATCATGTTTAAATTGGGTTAATCTAATACTAACTGGTAACATAACCTTATGTTTTCCAGCATTGATGCCGGAAAGGTGTAGTTTGGGATTTCCCACTTCATGTCTTGTCTTGTATGGAGTTTTGCCATTAAAACCCGTTTTAGGTTTACCGATGTGGCCTGCTTTCCTCGTGTTGAAAGTAATCTAAGGTGGGACTCAGCTGAATTGTTTTCAGAATAAATTTTCAAAATTGGAGGGCACATCACATTCATTTTCAACAAAAGGGGCACCGAATTCGGTGCCCCAATATTTTATTGAAATTGTAAATGGGTTAATTACCTTTTTAGTCATTGCACACTTTAGGGTATTTACAATATTAGTCTTAAGCTTC